CCCCCTGCCCCCATTTATTCTCCCATCTCCCATTCATTCCCCTGCTCCACATTCATTCCCCCTACCCCCATTCATTCCCCCATCTCCCATTCATTTCCTCCACCCTCTGTTCATTCCCCCAGCTCCCTGCTTGCTTTTCCAGCCCCCCCCCACACACACACACTCACCAGCAGTGACAGAGAATGAGCAGGAGGCTGGAGAGATCAGGGGAAGTATCCAGCTTACCTCCAGGGGCTTGTCTCCAGCCTCCTGCTCTCTACAGCCCCCTGCTCCTTCTCCTGCTCGTCTCCAGCCCTGGAGACAGCAGGGGAATGAGCAGGAGGCTGGAGATAACAGGGGAATGTCTCCAAAGTCTGTCTTCAGCTTCGTGCTTGTTCCCCTGCTGTCTCCAGCTTCCCGAGAAATGAGATGGAGACTTCCCCAGCTCTCGCCACCAGCCTCCTGCTCCTTCTTTGCTCCTGCCAGTGAGTGTGGGGGTGGTGGGAGAGGGCTGGGAGAGGGAGCAGAGAGCTGGGTTAACAAACAGGGGGTGGGGGGAATGAACAGGGAGTGAGGAGAATGAATGGGGAGTGGAGGGAAAGAACCAGGAGTGGGGGGAACAAACAGGGGGTGGCGGAAATAAACGGGGAGTTGGGGAAGGACCCCTCCCCCCTTCTCCATCCCCACAACCCCCTATTTACCTGGCAGAAGCCAGGTCCAGGTCCCTGCAGCTTGCACCACTGCCTGCCCTGCACAGGCAGGCAGCGTGCTTCCGGACCAGAGAAAGGGCCAACCACAGAGGCGCTCTGGCAGGGTGGCAGAGTGTCTCTGTGGAGGACTGAGCCTCCAGTTGTCTCAGAGCATGGTCTGGAACCATGCCCTGACCTGTTTTTTCCCCACCAGGGTATTGTTTGACCCTTGGATATCCAGGAGTTTAATGTTGCTCCCCTGCTGCAAATTTGCAGTGTGGAGAACATTTTTTTGTTCCTGCACATGCATCAAAGGGGTTTGAGATGCTGCAAGAGGCATGTGTGGGCTCGTCTGGACACACCATAAGTGTCCTCATTTTTATTACCTTTCTTAATTTTGGAGCCCACAAGCTGTGCAAAATACAAACATCTCTGCCAGCATTCATGATCCAGTTATTCCCTATCCAGATCCTTTTGTCCCAAATGGGTGCTCTACTGATACTCTAAATGGCTCAAGTTGAATACAGGGGGAATGAAAGAAGAAGCCCAGGAGAGGGTAGAGGTGTTCTCTAGAACACCTTCTCATACTCTCTTCCTTAATTTCTGCAGGTAAATCTATATGGTAATTAATGTATCTGTTAGGTATTTACCTTTTTCTGTGTTGCTCTTTGGCAGACACAGGTGGACCCAACCAAGGGTAACAAGGCACAGTACTAGAGAAAGTGATTAGTAGAGTAGCATTTGCCCCTGGAAATATGGCCTCTGGGCTGGTAAGGAACTAGAAGCATCCCTTTCCCCATGCACCCTTGTGATGTTTAAGGCTCGGGGTAGAGGAAGGGGATGGTTGGTTATGGTTAAGGCACTGGGCTCAGTCCTATGTTTTGCCATAGACTGGACATGTGCAAATGGCTTAATTCCTCTTTGCCTCAGATCTAAGCTGGGGACGGTAATTCTTACTTTCTCCCATCCTTTGTTCATTTATTCTTTGTGCTTTTGTGGACAGGGACTGCTTTATACTAGGATCTTGGGGCCTCTAGGACATCTGGGAGTACTAACAGCAATGGGAAATAGTACATTCTCCAGGATTCTCATCCACCGAAACCAATTTCAGCTTCTTAGAAAGTATGTGAAAAGTCCGTAAGGGTGACATGGTGGCCTTGTCCTTCTTCCTTAATGCTGTCCCCTAAGTTTCTCCATGTACAGTGTCTGTCTCTTATTCTCTTAATCTTATTTCTAAAGCATGTTGTCATCAAGACTTTGGCTTTACTTTCTGAGCATGAGGCCAGCTGTTTAAATTGCACAAGTTGTTCCAGCCATAGTCCTTGTTCTATACTGACTCTACACTAGTGATCCTTAACTAGGGTGAAGTGAGATCCTTTTAAGGGTGCTCCAAGGTACACTGCAATTTTAGCACTGTTACAAACACCTACATATGATTCACAAGATTAACCCACGGATTTCAAATAGGGATCCATAGTGTCAAAAACATTCTGCCTGTTGTGGTATTTTTGTGTTCTTTGCAAAAGAAGAATTGCCATGTTATCTTTTTCCAAAAATAAGTTAAAGCTAAGAGCTGGCATTTTCCAAGGGGTACCTTGAATATAACAAGGGATCCCTTGATTCTAAAAAGGTTGAAAACCACTGCCTTACTGTTTGATTGTGTATTTTAATTGTATTGCTTCCGTTCACTATACCATCCTAAAACAATCTGCATTTTCTTCCTTGTACCCTAGGACAGCCAGTAGTAGTAGGGGAACAAACTGGATGGCTTCCTGTTCATGATTAAATCTAGCTTCAATTCCTTCCTGTGATCCCAGATATCAGTGGATATTACTGGACTTGTACGTTTTATTAAACTGCAGTGAAGGTATTGGTGCCAAAGGAGTTTAAATATATATGGGCTAGTGCAAGTTCATTGCAATTCATATATTTTTAATTGAACAACATTAACGTGAGCATAGTACTCTCTAATTTAAGTGACAGTTCTCTTTTCATACCCAGCTGAATTTTTAAGTTATGGGCAAAGAATATAACTGTCATCTACTCCTGATCATAGTAAGAGTAAAGAATATGTATATGTAACAATGACCTTGGTGTAATCAACAAATAAAACAGAAAGACGTAAAAGTACTGCATTTGGCTACTGCACTTGCAAATATGCTCGTCAGAAGAAATTCTTAGTGGATTTTCAGGGTGCAGATACAGAGCCAAAGGTACCACTGGGATATGCAAGTGCATTTCTTATTAAGGTCAATGGATGCCAATGTTTCCACTCGGAGGGCTGAATTTGATCTTTAGTGTGTATGGGTGCTGCTACAGGTGCCAAAGAATCTTTTGATCTTTCAGGTGACTAATCTGCAAAAAGCAACAGGATTTACAGATTAGACCATGCGTGCATGAACTATGGGCCTGAGGAAAAATATCTTGTATACCCATTACAATTAAACTGATATTTCTTTCTTTGTTTAGATTTCCCTTCTCTTGTAATGCCAGGAATCAGGGGACAAACAGGCACTATTAATTTAGCATCCCCCTGGATTTTGCCAGGCTATTATTTTCCTGAAAACCTAAACAATAGTTACACGTTTGCTCCTATTCATTAACAGCTGGTTTTCAGACCATGTCACTTTACCTGTCGGAGAGGGAAGCTCATGTAGGTTGCTGCTGCATCTGTTACTATCATCGGTCTCCTCTGCTGTCATTTTCTGGCACTGCTGATTGAGGTCCTCGGTGCTCTCCATAGGTACCATTGCCATTCAACAGCTCTATCCTGCACTTCACGGTTGAAACACTTCACAGGGCAGTTCCCCTTCTCATGCCGACAACCAGTGTACAGTTTAGTCTCCTCATGGCAGCACGTTACAGAAACATACAGAAACTAAATGTAAGCCACAAAGTGATTTGTGAACAACTTTGTTTCTATTTCAGAAGGCTTTGCCCTTTCCAGTGACACAGGCTGTTGCTATTCCTGGTAGCCTATCACAGGCAAGTGGGAGGGCCATCTTTCGGAAGTATTGTTTTTGCCTTTAAACAAATAGTTGAAGACATTAGGCATTCTCATAGAGCTCAAAGCACATTCTTTAGCCATTAGCTTAAAGGGTCTCTCTCACTTTCATATACCTTTTTTTTTTTCTTTACAGGGTTTGAACACAAAGGGGGGGATTTAAAACATTTGCTGTGTCAGCTAAAGTTAGGGCATTGAAAACACACAGATGGTATCACTTAATTCTTTTAAATTATGAACGAGTTATAATGAGAAATACCAGACACTAAAGCAGTGTCATTCCTTCAGTTCTGAAGTGTAGTACCCAGTGGTGGTGGCAGCATATTTTTAATAATTTATATCAGGGGTTCCCAAACTGTGGCACGTGTACCTCTGGGGGTATGCAAGACATCTCTGGAGGGTACGTGAGAAAAATTGTGTAATGACATATTTCATTTTCATAACAACAACTGGCATTTAAAGGGTTAAAATATAAGGCCTATGTTGTTAGGGGTACGCAGGCAGCTGGTAAATCTGTAAGGGGGTACTCAATAAGAAGAAGTTTGGGAACCCTGATTTATACGATATTTATGGATAAATAAAAAGACAACCTCCTGCCAAGGAGTAGGTAGTCAAAAGGCTCAATCCTGAGACCTGCTAAGGAGTCAAAATTTCCATTAGCTACAATGAAAGCAAGGGAGGACACTGAACAAAAGGTGAGAGAGAGGGGAAAATAAAAGGTAACAACTGTGAATGATGAATTACATGTGCAAAACTAGATTCTCTCTTATTCATACTAGTAAGCATCTGCTTCCTAGTAGGCCCATTGACTCAACTGACACTATTCATATACATTTTCCCCAGTGTGAAGAATTACATAGTCTAGCTATTAGCGTTGGGCAGACTTGCTGTTGGATTGATTACTTTCTTTTTCTTGTTATGATTTTTTTTAACTTTTGTTTATTTTATCAACATTTGGAAACAAGGGGAGAGGGAAGGTGAAAGTGGGGCCAGAGGTGGGAAGCTCGTAACATATTCAGGAAAGAATCATCTCAAACATTTTTTACTATAATTACAACAGGCACAAAACACCTTTATCACTCAGCCTTTGCTTCACAAGACAATTCAAAAAAAGAGAAATGAAATGCCTTTTCTAACATGTGTCACCATTAGGTCCAGAAGGTTGAACATTTGGACTCCACTCGATTAAGATTTCTGCTGGCCAATTTTTTTTCCAGCCGTCCATTTGGGATTGTGTTACATGCATCAGACTAATCCTTCCTTCACTTGTTATTTTGTTTTCAATTCAAGCAAGAGCATACCAAAGAATCAAATGTTTTTGGAGGCAGTCAGAGCTGCGCCAAAAAAAAACCCCTCACTACTTCTGGAGAAGTATTACATTCACACGTGGGACATAAAGATGCAGTGGTTTTCATTGTGAATATTTGGCAATAATTGTAGGCTCTTCCTATGGGAGGAAAAACACTGTAATTTTGCTTTGAAAACTTTTTTCAAGGACTAAATTTATCCATAACAAGATTCCCATGTGACAATCTGATCTATAGCCAGCCTTTTCTGAGGGCTGGCATGTAGTGTGACGCAGCTCTGTCCCTAAACAGGGCCTTCAGGCAAAACTCATACTCTTTCAGCTAGTCCCTTATTCAGACCTTCTGCAGCCTGAAACCCATAATTCCTTTGTCTTTAATGAAATTTTTGAAGCTAGGGCTTTGCCCCATGTGGCACTTTAAAGGGGAACTAGTTCATCCTCTGAGATTCTCATCCTTGGAAGAACTTGTGTGGCTTCCTTGCCCACTCTTAAGAGCTAGTTTTTGAGGAGGTCAGATTCCTTGATGGATTCAGTGCCACTGTAATTAATTTCCTCCAGCTCTGAGCTGATACTGAGTACCCAGAGGCATGCAAGATTTCACTTTAGAGGAGGGGTGCTCAACCCCAGGTCTTCAAGCCAGATTTGGCCCCTGGTGTTGTGTGGTCCAGCCTGCCGGCTCCCTATGGGTCTGAAAGTTTGGTAGTGGGGGAACAGTGGCATCTCTCTCTGCTGCCAAATTTCTGGACCTGTGGGGAGCCCCCTGAGCCAGACCGCACAGTCCTGTTCACTGGATCCAGAATGCAGGGAGGCAGAGGGCCCGATCCTAGAGTGTGACTGGCAGTGGGGCGCAGGGCCCAATCCTGGTATGTAAGGCCAGGCAGAGGTGGTGCAAGGCTCCAGGGCCCAATCTCACTATGCAAGGCATGATCTTGGTGAATGAGGCTAGGTCAGGTTGACACAGGGCCTCAGGGTCTGATCCTAGCATGTGGGGCCTGATCCCAGCATGTGGGACCAAATGAGGGCAGCATGGAGCCTGATCCCCAGACCCCAGGGCCCAATCTTAGCATGTGATGGGGCAGTGCAGGGCCTCCAGACCCAATCCTGGTGCACAGGGGTCAGCCAAAGCCATGTGGGGTCCAATCCAGGTGTATGGGTCTGGGCAGAGGCAGTGTAGGTCCCAGTCCTGGAGCACAGGGCATGATCCAGCCCACAGACCAACCAAGGGATTGAGTACCACTGGTCTAGACCACTGATTCTTAACCAGGGTGTCATGGCACTCCAGGTTGCTAAGAGATCCTTTTAAGGGTGCCATACTATTCAGTATGCAAATATCTACACATGATTCCCAAGGTGAATACAGAGATTTCAGGTAAGAATACATACTATCAAAAACATCTGGCCTGTTGTGGTCTTTCTGAGTATTTTGCAACAGAAGAATTGCTCTATTATTTGTTGTAGTTAAAAAGCAAGTGGAAGCTAAGAGCTGGTGTTTTCCAATGGGTGCCCTGAGTCTGAAAAGATTGAGAACCATTGATCTAGTAGCAGCTGGGACCACAGAATGATTACTAGGTGGTCTTAGCAACTGACAAAGAATGGGGTGATTGTAAGAAAGGGGACCCACTGGAGATCCATGGGGACAGGGGACTAACTATGATGGACTTCCCCATTTCATTCTCTTGTGGGGCTGGAAATCATCCACACTTTTTCATATCCTAAATTTTGGTTTCACGGAAGTGAGTGAAAGTGCAGGGCAGAAAATTTGACACATCTTCAGACAGTTGCAAATGCAAAAGTTTACCACTGATTTTGTTTTCATGTGTTTGATAGGAATCTGTTTTACTGAAAACAGAAAAAGCCCTCGAGGATTTATCAAGATGATCTGAGAGCACAAAGTAGAGAAAACTGAAAACATTCATTTGGTTTATCTCCACCCTCATCTCAAATGTTAAGAATTTTTAGAGCCCTGTTTTTCCTTTCCAAAACTGCCATTCCAAAACTTAGTGAAGAAAACCCAGTGGCGATCCTGTTTTTGTAGGATTGTAAAATGTCCATCTTCTTCTTTGACCTGCTTCTGATTCATTAGTTTGAATAGCTAGTTACACAGGTATTGTTTCCTTTTTTAAAAACAACAGAGAGAAATGCTATGATTGTAACTTTTCCTTATTCCTAGGTTTTCTATTTCTAAACATATTATTTATGGGACTTGTTAAACAACATAAACTGTCTTTCTTTCCAGATACAACTCTCCATTTTGCATGCTAAATGAAAAAGTATTTGTCATATATAAGAGGTGATACCAACATGCAGAACCCACTCTCCCCATCTAAAACCATTCCATATAGATACCTACTATATGTCATCATAACCTGGCAATTTCCCTTATGCAGTCAGGGTTAGTTAAGGAAAAGAAGTTTGCTTCTCAGGAAATTTCTGGAACTTTTATGTGGATTTTGAATGATAAGTGCCTAATTAATTAATTATTTTTCAACTGAAATTTTCCAAACTTTATTCTTGACAACAGGGGTAACAGTCAGTAGTCCTAGATTCTGATCTTACAAATGTTTACATTGAATGCTTACCTTGGGAATCAGTGGACTTCTGCCCTTTAAGTTAGGTCCTTATGTGTATTTTTTACAGAATCAGGTCCTCATTTTTCCCCAGCTATGCCATTATCTTACTCTGAAGCTGTAACATGGTGTAGCCTTTACCTACTTTTTTCCTCTGTGGTAGCCTTGTAAGAAAGATCTTATCTTTATGGGTGCTAGAGAAGTCAGTACACAAAGTTATGTAGGTGAACTGTTAAATAACACAAATGATAACACAGAATACTCAAAACTAAAGGGGAAAACGACACAAATGGTCACTGGATTATTTCCCTTGCTAAAGCCTCAAAGGCCTGTTTTCTTAAAGGCTGTTCCCTTATTTAGTCAAAAGTGAAAAGACAATTTGTTAAAAGGTTTTCTTAAGACTTTACCTTGTCCTTGTGGTGTTGCAAATGTCCTTTGGGATCTTTGAAAAGTCTGTTAGTCTCTCTGAGTTTCAGTCTTCCATCTGTAAAATAAGGATACTAACACTGCTGTACCTCACTGGAATACAGTGAGGAGCAATACAAAAAATATTGGCAATGTGCTTGGATACTAGATGATGCTGGCTGTATAGATTCTTAAGTTGCTCTTTCCATTAAGAAATTATCCTTATATTTAACGTAAGTGTGTACATGTCCAACTTCAGATCATTCAGTTTGTAACAGGTCCTTAGTCAATGTTGAATAAATCTTGCCAGCTCCTTTATATCATTTCCTGGGATCTTATCTGCCCTGTTCAGCTGTTTCTTTGAACTATGTAAGTTAAGTCCTCTTCATCTTTTTCTAGTTGTTGTATCTTCCACATCACTCATCTTTGTTGATCTACTTGTATACCCTTTGGGCCAGCCCTTGAGGCCTTAATCTTTACTCTGGCAAAACTCTTATTGAATAAGATTCTGCCTAAATAAGGGGTGAATAAAAAAATAAGAAAGGCCTCAAGGCTTGGTAGGCCATCTTCCTAATAGGGTGTTTGCTAAAATATACTTATAACAACAGTACTGAGGATATGAATATGAGACCTTCAAAAGTGATGCCACCTGGAATTCATAAGGGGATGCTACAGAAAGTCACCATTGTCATTGGCCCCTCTCTCTTTTGCTGCCCTTTATTGTAAACATAGGAATGTCTAAGTGAC